GTGATGTGGTACTGTTATATTTGTTTTGTGATAATTTGGACTATGTACTATGTGATGTTTGGGACTATTTATATTGTTATTGTGATGTTGTGTTTTGTTAGTAGCTTGTTTTAAAAATTCTAGTAGTAACTGTTGTGAGTTTTGTGATTTAGTTATTTTAGAACTTAACTTAATTCTGTCTTTTGAAAAGATGAAAATCTTGCTAACTTTAGTTTTAACTTTAAATTTCAGAAACTGCAACCCTGTATTTTTCTTTTATCATGTTTGTGTGTTTGTTTTTATGTTGAGATTGTGAAGTCAAAGTTAGTGTGTTAGTTTATTTTTATGGTTATACCCACTGCTTAAAAGTCTATTGAATCTCTACATGTTGAATTATAAACAAAAATATTCAGTAAAGGAAGGAGAAGCTTGAGGATTAGTATCTCTTTTTAAAGTATAAGACTTGAGAAACTCTTAAGCTTATAGATATAATATAATAAGTAAAATTATTTTTAATAAAAATTTTTAAGTAAAGATAATAAAAGAACTAAATTCTAAATTTAGAAAATCTACAATATATTTCTGAAGAAGATGGAAACTCATATTTTCATCTTTCTTAACATTAAAAATTTCTAAATTTTAAGTTGGTCTCATTTACTGAATATTTTTTCTAAATTGGACTAATATATTTCTAAATCTAAATTTTATAACTCCTAAAGGAACTCATATAAATATCATACATATTTAGTTTTTAAAGATTTAAGTGTCACTTGAGGACAAGTAACATTTTATGTTTGAGGGATTTTTATACACATAAAATATATAGTATTTTTAGACATATTTTTATACTTATTTTTGAGATATTATGCTCTGATGGAAGGTATTTTTATATTTTTTCTTGCAGATACAAGTAAAAATGGAAAAAATGCTTAAAGGAGTGAAAAAGGATCAAATTTGGAGCAAAAAGATGAAAAATTGTGCAAAAGAGTTTTGGCGGTAGAAAAAATGTGCAAAAGAGTTTTAGCGCCTAAGCGTCAATTAAACAGAGAAGGCCGCGCCTAAGCGTCAGAGGCCCCGCGCTTAAGCGCCAGTAACAGTTATTGAATGAGTAAATTCGGTTTTTGTGAATTTTGAAGAGGTTTTTTAAGTCACCTATTGACTTAATAGGTGGTTATAACCATCATGGACGAAAATTATCATAAAAGAATGCATCTTTTAGGAAAATACATCGAATCAATACATATTTTTTAAGAGAAACCAAGACACCTCTTGAAAAATTATAAAAGAAAGAAGAGAGGACTTTGAAAAGAGTCTTGAAAGTATTGAAAAATTTTGAAAGTTCTTAAATTGGGGAGTTAGTTGGAGAGATTTTCAGGCACCACTTTTATTTACTTTATCATTTTTGTTATTTTATTTTTGTTATTTTATTTTTTCGTTATTTTGTTTTGAGTGATTGTAAAAGAGAATAGATTCAAGAGAATTTCAAGAGTTTTGTGGAGGACTTAAGATAAATTTTTATTTTTTGTTTTAGACAACTTTTTGTTTTAATTGAGACTTGTTGGTTTGACAATGATTTCTACTTTTAAACTACAGTATGGTTTTGTTTTCTCCATGGATTCTGAGTATTTTTCTTTATCTTTTTTCTTAAAATGATAAGTAATTAAGTTTTGGACGAAAGTTGTGGAGAGTATTGATCTTTAATATTGGAAGAAGTTGTGATTATTTAAATCCATGTACTTCATTTACTTCTTAATTTGACCAATTTAGATGTTAAAATTTGTTGTGAGAACATGTAAGAACCGGGCTGGTATTGTCTCAGTCAATAATTGGAAAGAATCACATCAGGTTGTATGAACGAGAATGTAGTTCATATGATTGAGTGCAAATAAATAGGGAAATATTCATTAAAGGGT